CCTTCTTCTTCTCCCCCCTTTTCTTCCTTTCCCCTTCTCCACATCGTCTGTTCACCGTTTCTCCTCCGTCTGCCCTGTCCGATGCCGGGCTGTAAAAAGCAAAGTGTAAAAAGGCAAACCGGAGTGTAACACCATGACACACGGCTCCCAATGCACGAAAAAAAAAAAAATTGGAAGCGACATATCAAGAAACCAAAGAAGGGGCCTACAGTATATCACTGGACCAGAGCAACAACTTCTTTTAAAAGGTGGCCCCAAGAAATTCGAGTGGAAAGGGACAAAATTATGGCCCATATTGCATTAAAGGAATCCCCACCAACGCCAGCCATGCTTGGGAATCTTATCTCATGGTTCGCGTCTCTCGTTAAGCGGCATGTTTGAATAAGAAAAGGAAAACAGAAAGAGATTTTATAGACAGGAGGAAATGCGAAGTGGGTAATTATTACGGTCCCGCCACGGGGACCAGCTGATGCTTCGCTGAGAACGAAAACGATACCAAAACATGCAATATGTCCAGCATGGTATCGACGAGTGAGGTTGACTTGGCTTGTCGCCCATGGTGGCCGATTATTAGGTGTGGCTATGTTGCAAATGCATAGACTCTCGCTGGAACACTGATGCATCGTTGACTGAGTCGTTCGGGGGCCCTCATGTACTGGCTCGTACCCTACGTGGCAAAGAGTAACTTGAGGACAGTCCGGAACGCGAGGCATACGAGGCTGAAAGCGGTTGACTATTATCTCTGCGTCCAGCAATTGGTTGTATCGCCGCGATTCGCGGGTCGTAGGCACTATTGTGGTTGTCCTCCTCGTGAGAATCATCGCTCGCTTCGTCATGAAGAGTTCCCTCTGATCCACTGACCGAAGCGCTGCTGTCATCATCCGAGTGTGAGCTAGTACCCCCATGAGAAGTGGTGTCTGACTCATTGTCCGGCGTCGAGGTACCAGCAGTTGGGCTTTTCAGCCCTGTCTGCAGAATAGCGGATGAGGCCATGCTATCCCCATCTGAGTGATCATCATCTCGTGAGAGGTTGGCTCGACTCAACAGTTTTTGAGCCTTCAGGGTGGCTCTCAGAGCGTGCTCTGCCGCGCGCTCAGCACGACAATGCTTCTCCCACATGGAAGCATAGCGGCCACCCAGAGCTAGGAGCTCCTGATGCGTGCCTTTTTCGACCATGGTGCCAGCGTGAAGGACAATGATTTGATCCGCATGCGTAATAGTTGACAATCGATGCCTGTAATACATATTATCGTTAGCAACTATTCAGTGATGATCAGTACATAAGCCACTTACGCAATGATCAGGAGCGTACGGCCCTCGCCAAAATTGCCGCTGATTAGCTTGGACTGAATCTTCTGCTCTGTCTCACCATCCAAGGCTGATGTCGCCTCGTCCAACATGATGATTTGTGGGTTTTTGAGAATTGTGCGCGCGATAGCGACACGTTGCTTCTCACCACCGCTCAAGCGAAGGCCACGCTCGCCAACTTTGGTGGCGTAGCCGTCCGGGAAACTCAGAATACGATCGTGAATCGCAGCCGCCCGGCAAGCATCATACACATCTTCCTCGGTTGCGTTCGGGTTCGCATATTTCAGGTTGTACATGAGGGTCTCGTTGAACAGGATAGTATCTTGCGGAACAACACCAATGAATCGGCGCACCGAGTCGATAGTCAAGTCTTTCACGTCATGGCCGTCCATCTGTATGCTTCCCTCCTGGCAGTTGTAATACCGGAACATCAAACGAAAAACGGTGGATTTGCCACCTCCAGACTCGCCGACAAACGCGGTGGTAGTTCCGGGCTTGCACTCGAAAGACAGGTCATGCAGGGCAGGCCTGCGCTTGTCGTACGAGAATCCGACGTTGTTCCATTTCAAATGCCCGCTGCAGCTTGCCAAGTCTTGGACATCAGGGCCGTCGATGACAGAAGGCTGGATTTTGAAGAGTTCAAGGAGTCTCTCTCCGGAGATCATGGCTTGCTGGATGGTCCGGTAAAAAGTACCAAAGAAGTTGAGTGGTCCTTGTAGTTGGCCGAGATAAGTGATCAACGACACAAACTCACCAAGGGTCCGAGTGCCTTGGCTGACCTGATACGCGCAGGTCATCATGATGACAAGAAAGCCGCACATGAAAACCATGGACTGACACATGTTCATGTGATTCATGCCAAAGGTCACCTTGGCCTCGGCTGCCTGGAAGTTGAGGATCGCATTGCGGTAGCGCGCAAACTCGTATTTTTCGGCGTTGAAGTACTTGACCGTTTCGTAAGACGTGATCGAATCGTTCTTAACCGCCTCTTCCTCTCTATCCGCATTGACCATATCGCGTCGCTGGTCAGCCCTGGTTGCCGCCATACGGATCGTCAAAAACAAATAATAAAAGGTGATGACCGAGACGAACAAGGCGTACATGGGCCCGAACTTGACATAGAAGAAGATGATGGCTATGAAAAGGTCGATGAGCATAGGAACCACTTGGAAGGTTGTCTGCTCCAGGAACTGGTTGATAGAGGCTCCCTTGTTGAGGGCGGAAAGGACCTCTCCAGTGCGTTTGCCAAGGTGGAAATCCAGTGACAAGGAATGCACATGCTCAAATGCAGCTGTCGTCAATGCTCGGTAGGTATGCTGCGATACGGGAATCCAGAGGATCGACCTCAAAGACCCAAGCAATCCAGAAGGCCCTTGAAGCAGCTTGTATAATACCAGGAGTCCAACCTGCATCCACGGCATTTTGAAAACCCCGTCCTTCGGCTCTAATGCATCGGTAACTCTCCCCATCTGAGCGGGAACCGCAATGTTGACAAAGCGCTGAAGAAGGACCAAAACAAAGCACACAAGTATGATGCCCTGGAGCTTGAGAGAATTTGCTGGCCAAAGATATGGGAAGAAGACCGAATAACCGCGGCAGTATTCGAACCACGTCTTGTGAGGGAGTTTCTGAGGTCGGTAAAATGCCGCTTCCGCATCACGCTGTTGACAACCCGCTTCCCCAGCGCCATTTTCGCTCCCAAATCCAGAGTCGGTCCGTGGAAGTCTGCGATCATTGCCTCTGTTGGAGCCGGTGTGATAGTTCGGGTGACTTCCGTTTAGCAAAGGACTTGACTCATCACTATCGGAGTGGCTTGCTTCTTCGTCATATCGCTGTTTTTCCTTGATACACTTCCTGGTCGTTAGAGCAGCATAGGTGAACACCATAATCGTTACGATTAGTATACGGACGCCACCAATGCTGAGATCCACAAGGTCCCACCTGTCCAAGCCATCAGTTTGTTTCGGTATCGGGTCCTGAGCGCCGAGGGTGGAGTAGCGGCTCCCGGTAACAATGAGGGCGAATGATAACAGGACGACAATTTCGCCACCGAGGCCGAGAACCCATGTAATGAAGTGGACGATATTCGGGCTGTGTTCCCAGTCAAACAACGTGATGAGAACGTATACGTAGAAGAAAGCTGACCCAGCAACGTAAACCTTTAAGCCGAGTTGTAAGTACATCAAGCCAATAGTTTGACAGCCCATTAGGACCAGATACTTGGAAGTGGGAACGACTTACGATGCGCTGTTCATCGCACCACCAATCGCCCACCTCCCCTTTCACTCCGCGAGCTGACACGGCGTGAAGGGCGATAGCAGCACCGTTGGCAACAAATGATAGTACAAGACCAGCCGAGAGGTACTGAAACACGGTCTTGGCCACGTCGCCGTTGTGAACAAAGGGTGCTTGAATGTCATGATGCTCACGCCTTCTCTTGGTAAAGGGTAGAGGTTTGCCGCCGGGGCCCTTGATGGTTGGGGCAACTACTTCCTCCTCGGTCTTGGAAGTGACGATACTATGGATGCCGGCTGAGATGATGAAGGCGAATAATAGAACGACTGGATAGCATAGCTGAGAATTCCTAAAGACGACTTCAGCAAGGCTGGGCTGAAAGCCTCGTCCACTCTTGAGTGCGTCCATGTTGGGCCTGCACACAACTGAGGGTTAGAAGAGAGCCCGGTAAAGTGATTGGATGGTTGAGTGAGAGGAGTTGAAAAGGTGAAATAGAAATAAGATGAGCTTGGGAAGGAGAGATGTGAGAGCCAAGGCGGGGAGGCAAGGAGTACCTCTTTTGGAGGACAGGGGATGGAAAGGCAGAAGCAGATGAATGATCAGAAGGTGGCACTGCATGCTAGCTCGACGAGCCCAGGCAATGCTTGACGGGAGCTGACATACAGAAAGAGGCAGGATTTAGAGAAGAGAGGAGAAGACGACGACGACGAGGCAGAGGCAAGGCCGCCAGATCATGACCCCCGGGACCCTCGAGATGTCCTTGGCGATTTTGAGTGGTGGTTGGCCGAGTTCAAGTGAAAGTTGTGGTTGAGGTTCCGGCTGCGCGCAGTGGCGGCAAACTGCAACCGAACTGGCAAACTGGATGAGGACGGCGGCAGAAGAAGCGAGCGTATGTTTTGAATAGAGAGGCCGAGGCTGGAAAAGGCCAAGGAGATGCGGGAGATAGGCAGACGGTAACGTTGGGGTAGGAGAAGTATGAAGCTGCAGACGGCTGCCGAGGTGATGGCGTAGCAGGGTCGGCGGGAGTGTATATTAAAGACGGGAGGGACGGTGTAGATGAGATGCCGTACTCGCCCACTATCGCGCTGCGTGTGCGTGTGCGTGTGCGTGTGCGTGTGCGTGTGCGTGTCTCTGGGTAAACCCTCGAGACCGCTCTTGTCTGGCTGCTGAATGCTGTTGGGTCGATAGATTGTCGTCGAATGGCAAGGTCTCTAGCAAGGTGCGTCACGGTTCAAGTTCCCGTCAACTTGTTGAGCACCGAGACCGAGTCCAGTAAAAGTAGGTACTGTAGAGAAGTATGTACCTCGATCGAGTCGGCGGCCTGTAGACGGATGGTGGGGCAGCCAGCGCCGCAGGCGGGAGCAGGTGACGGGTTTGGTGGTGCGGCGGCTTTTGCCACTTGAAAGATCGATCCTGTCTGGGGCTGAACCGAGTCAAGAGATGTCGTTGCTGCTGATGAGGTCCAGCTGAGAGGCAAGCCGCCTGGCTTGATTTTCAAAACCCTGGGGCCGCTTGAACCGTCGATAACCTGGATGGATGGAAGCCTGTGGATTTCTAAGCCTCCGCGGGGAGTCCACTTCCACTTGGTAATCAGGGTAAGTGCGACTTAATGGCAGAAGTGATCAATGTTTTGTCGGCTGTATCGTTACTGCCAAAAAGAGAAGCTCGAAAAGCCAGAGGATTTGTACTTGGATCCGGACGGGATGCAAGCCTAGTAGTGTACAAGAGGCAAGTAGTAGGTAGGTGTACTGTACCTAGCACCCGAAGCACAAGATGCACAGCGGAGATCAAGGACAGACAGGGCAGCCCTATGGAGATGATGGTCAAGGACCCAGAGGGGAGGGGAGGGGAGAGGAGAGCGGAAAACCAGAACCAAAACGAGTGTGGTGAGATGGAAGATGGAAGTTGAAAAGGAGTTGAGGTTGTTGGGAAGTCGGAGATGGAGAGTAGGTAGCTTTCAGACGAAAGAAGACGCGGGACGGCAGACAGATGCCCATGCTACATGCATCCGCCTCACAAACGGGACGACGGAGGGGTCGACGTCCTTCTTGGGTTGAGCTAGAGAGGATCCTCGTCTCAGGTCTCGAAGGCCGTTCGGTGCATGGAGGCCCTGGAGTATGAATGTACCGTAGAGCTAAGGCACAAAACCGGGCAGCTGAAGGAGCCGGGCCGGACTTGTGTCGTCAGGTCTTGGGTTGTTCTTACCCGTAGGGTACACACAATGTACAACCTACCCGCCATTAAACATGACTTGGTGTAAATACAAAATCAGAGATGCCACGTTAGACGCCCAATTGTGACATTATCGGTTCTTTTCGTTCACCATGACCACAACAAAAGGCACAGATGGTTTGTCGTTTACGATTACTTGCGACTCCGTCGCTTTCTGTCATTGGAGATGCGACACTCTACATACAGACGCAGTACTAGCCATATTGGCTGACATTTGACAGTGGCTGTCTGGGCTCCGGCTGCAGTGCTTGTCCCCAAAGACAAGTGGAGAGCTTCTCCACACACACACACACTTACAGCAACATCGCCTTCAAGCTAAACGCAGTGCCTGCATTGATCAGCCAATGAAACCGTCAAAGCGGCCCTGACAAGGGCGAGCGCAATGGGGAGGTTGGCCCAGGCCCGCGGCTGGCCCCTCCGAAAAGTCGGAGTCAAATCGATGTGTCTTTCTGGCTGGATCAAGACATCATGTTCGCCTTCCATTTTGAGCGTTACATACTTTCTTTGTTTCGCAGCACCAGAATCTGGGGCTTGTATCACGGGTATGGAACCTGAATATCAGCACGACATATCATGCGCCTGGGCTCATGGACATGATGCTGTACCTAATGTAGTATATACACTAACAAGTTGACATGTAGTGCAATCGGTACCTTACAGAGCTTATAACGTACCTGACGTCCTGATCGATCCCCACAATCTCGTCCCCGGTGCACATCATCATGTCTATACTCATGCCATGCTCGCCTGGCATGGACTAGCAATAGCTTTTCCAATATAAATGTGCCTGTACCTCGCGTGTGTCATCACTGTCGTTAAGTTTTCTTTCTTTCTGACCACGAAAACCATACTGTGTCCATGCTGTCCTGATCACGAATGACAGACAATTGAGGTGGTGGGAGAAAACCAACTTATATTTAAAGACCCCACTACATTGGGTGAGTGGTGAGTGGTCATCGTATGTTTAGTTGGAATGAAACACGGCATGGTGATTGGTTGTTTGGTTGGCCCTTGAGCTGCATCACTGCACCAGTTCCCGCTCATATGGGATCGATGTAACCGATGTTTCCTGTTGTCCTCCCACATGGGAGAAGACCCGAGTGTTGGAGTAGCTGACAAGGGTGGTTATTCTCGTACAGCGCAGGAAAGTGGACTTGCGATGTGGATGAGGACATTCTCGTACAGTCTTTGATGCTGTAAGCTCATGGCTGGAGGGGTGAAAGTCAAGACTCGAGAGACCAGAGATTATCTCGGGGAGTTGCGTGAAGCCTAAAAACTATGGACCTGTGGACGACCCGGCAAGCAATGCCTTTCGTCCGGCGCGATGGACCAGCGACTTTTTTTTTTTCTCTTTCAGTTCTATTCCTTGTCCGCAGTCCTCTCATCCTCGGCTGTCGCTTTTCGGGCTCCCGCGGTCTGCATTTGACAATAGGTAAGCAGACAGGGTACTCACTTTGACCACTTCCACATGGGACGACGGGGATGGTCGGGGGCTGGCTGGGGATACGTATATGGGGTTGACGGGACGAGTCGCTGCCCGGGATTGCAGATGTCCATAGAAGGATGGAAGTTTTCATGGAAGCAAAACTCCTCCCATACAAGCCCTGCCCGACCCGTGACAGCAGCACCATAGCGGGACGGTGATGACCGACGTGAGGACGGACTACGCGCTCATCAATCTCACCATGCTGGTCGTCCGGGAGTTATTGCAGTAAAGGGAAAGGATTGGGCCGTGATGGAACCGTGATGGAACCGTGATGGAACCTTGATCGAAGGAGCGGACTCGGGCCTTTCCTTCCTTGCCCTTTCCTAACCTGACGATGTGAAACTGACCGGGGATGAGGAATCAACAACGACAGTGCGTCGCCCCGCTCATTCTGCATTGCACCCTGCCGTGTACGTGCCTCGAGCCATGTTGGAGATGTACTCTCGTCATCGCCGGTCTGGAAACGCAGGCGTTCTCGCGGAATCAGGGCAGCGTGCCTGGATGTGTTACGTGTCTCGATTTTGCCGGGCCCGGCCTGCCCTGTCTGCCGGTAGTGCGCCTGCTGGTGCGGGTCCGTTTCCATGGCCTCTTGAGGATCGGAGCGAGACGAGGTTCGAGGTTCATGTTGCCAAGGCTATCCGGCCCAGCCCGACGGGACGGCAGGTCGGACATTGGAGGATCGATGCGACATTTGCGCTTCGATGAGAACTCGCTCGGCTGTAACACTAATAAAGTCTATTTGGTGGATTAAGAGCCGAAATATGATGCTGCCTGGGATCATAAATGGCTCGGACGAAGGCAGAAAATTCTTTGTTTTGCTTACCTCTACGTTACGGAAGGATGCCCGGATGTTGAGGTCGGGCAAGATAGTTTGAAGGTGAGACCGACCTACCGAGAGCAGCTCCGCACTTCTCCGTCGAGGTATCGGTACCGAACAACAGGCTCAAGCACCATGCCGGTGTCCACCCACCTCTGCCCGACTTATTTGCAAAAGCAGGAGTTTTTTTTTTTTTTGGTTTTGTTTTTTTTACAATGTACACTAGGTCATTGCGTCTTCGCTGCATATCAGTAGTAGTATGAAACTTGTACTTTTGTAGTCGTGAAACCCCAACGACTCCGTGTCGCGGAGGATATCAACATTACTGACGATAACCGCGGTAAGGGAAAAGAAGAAGAAAAAACAAGAAAATGTCAAACAGGACAGAGGTGGATAAAAAGCTTAACATTCTTCAAATAGAAAAGAAAAGGTAGTGTACATATCGGTCTAGAGGCATGCATACACGTCTAAGTGAAGTGTAGTGCAGTGTAAGTGTGTGTGTCTTGTGCTCCACCGTGCTGTCTAAAGCTTGACGTGATTGGTTCAGAATAGGTGCCTCTAATCATTCTTCGGCCTCTCCCACTGGCTTCACACGCTAAGAACTGAACTTGGCCGTTGTTGTGACCAACAAGGTACAACACCAAACTAGGTAGTGTAAGCTAACTACGCAGCCAGCTCGCACACCCTTTTCATTACAATTCCCTTCACCGCCTTGCCGCTACTTCTGGTGATGAGACCGCGACCTGCTTCATGCATGCATGCCACATCGGACCGCATACAGCGGGACTACACTAGGCACGACTAGCTTGAGGCAGCAGTAGGTAATGCTACGCCATCTTTTCTGCTGCCACAATGCTAGCTTCTGGAAACACATCGACAAGTCTTTGCCAGACCATTCAACACACAAAACGACTCAGAAGCAAGACTACCTTAGTGCCTGGCTTGGGCTCAGCATATAAACTCACCGGCAGGAAATCGGCAATTAGATTTGCTTTCGCGGAAACTGTCGCCTTTTTGTCGTGCGTAACGCGCGTAGGCACTATATCGGGTAGCTTGTGGTACTATGTGACCGATGACTGTCTGGGAAGGGCATGGGAGTTCGTCTGGGTGCAAAATGCTTCTGCCCGTTCGTTCGCATGCTACAACGGCAAACTGGGGAGACGCGGGCATGAGAGTATTCGGACGGCCGGACAAACGGGAGATGACGGGAGAAGGTGACTGGACCTTCCGCCGACGGAGCCATACGGGCCGGTCACCGGGAGATTCATGTGGTCTCGTTCGAAACACGACATGAAGCTCCCAGAAGCTCTTTGCCAGCACGGCTACCACCGTCTTGATATACTGAATTTCCTTCTCAGCCGCTGTTCGACAAGAGTCAGGCTTATACCAAGCTCTTTATCACAAGAAACTGGCAAACTGGAAGGAACTACGGGCTGTTGTGTGCCAAGGAGAAGGAGGGCCTCACTCGACTTTCGTGTAATTTGACTGTGATCTCGGTCAACGTCCTTGCTAAAGTATGCCCTAAGTTTCTCCGGTGTCATCTTTTCAGGTTCTATACTGAACCGACTATGCGTTTCCGGAGTGTAGCTCTACCCCATCAGCAACATTGGCCTGGAATTCGTGATGAATTAGCGAGCCTAAGGCCAAGGAGGGAAAGGTAAGAAGGGGAACCTAGACATAGGTGGGCCACTGCTACCGGTAGTTCAAGGAGAAGATGTACCTCGACGACAGCAGGAAAGAAAATAAAATGAAGTTTGTTGGGGAATAAAACTTATTGAAAAAACTTTACAAAAATTAAAAAATTTAAAAATTCGCATCACAAAATCATGCCCGAGCGAGGATTTTCTCAAGCGGCTAGGCCCAGCAACCAATTGAAATGGGCCGACATCGTCGTCCTGCTCATGATTACCCAAAACACCCAAGGCCTGCTGGCAGGAAATCCAGGGTAACATGTAGAGCATAATGCTCACACATACTAACTGTCCATCTTCCAGTCCGCCGTCAGCAAGTCCGTCAAATTTTCATTGTGTTTCGAAACCCAACCACATTTGGCGTCGTGAGCAAAAAACTACGTCGAAATGATACTTTCCTATCGCTACGTTCTCTGCCTTTGCCGACTCTCCAAAATCCCGAACCAATAGGCGGCATGGCACTAACGTAGGTCAAACCAGACTAGACACTGCGCATAATTGGCCTCTCTGGAGGATCCCCGTCTTTCCCACATGCTTTTACTAATTACCCTACGGTTGGAAGGGAAAGAAAATTTTTGACTGCCGAATCCGCCATGACACTCAAATGTTGAGAAGCTGCAAGAAAGCTTCCAGTGTCTTGACTTCAAAGAGCTGCTTCACCGACAATATATGATTATGCATAGCGACGCAAGGCTAAAGCAACCGGTCAGGGTGTGGACCCTGGAACGTGATCCTCAGTCGAAGCTATGGGAAACCATTCAGATGTGCTTTCATTTCCGTCCCTTGACCATAAACACGTATCAGATCCTCGGCTACCGCCCTATCCGGTATTATCGAACGAAATTTTCTCCGATGGCATCGACCCGACAGAAATGTAGCACGGCGATAAGTTTGTGACATCGAAGCTCGGGTCCGGGGTCTGAATCTACCTACCTAACACCTTACTACACGTCGAGATAATGTCTAGTGAATTCACTGGTTCTCTACAACACCGCAACCGTACTTATCCAGCCGCGTATCACCCTCTGCGCATTTTTGCTGTAAGGTACTTGTTTGCTGGGCAGTTACGCACTCTATTCCTGCATCAGAAGGTGCAGAAAACCATATTATGTTCTCCCCTCGTCTCAAATCCATCCATGTGCTGGAACGGAGACCGGTGGTCCATGAAAATCCGGGTTTCAAGAGGATTTGGGAGGAGGAGGAGAAGAAGTTTTCCATGGTGCATAGGGTCACAATAAGGACTCAACGGAGTCTCTTCCCGGCCCGTCAACCCTTATCCTGCTCCCATTCGTTGCCCTGGAATTTTTCAATTCGGGTATGGGTGCATCAATGTACAGCTCACTTGAACCTACCACGCCTCGTCACCGACCCTGCCGAACCTAGATGGGGTTAGGAGGATTTATATCGACGATGTGGAAGTCGGCTTATTCTTTTGCCGAAGACTCTCTTCTGATGTTTTTCCGAAGGATCGACAGGGCATACTGCTCCGGAAATCAGTCTGATGGTCCTGGCCTTCGTGCACATCGACCTTAGCCTAAGTTGTTAATAGTGTAGTGACAACATGTGTTCGTGGTACAGTTCAATGCTGGTCTGTTCATTAGCGCGGTTCTTACGACAGAGGTATGTACGCAACATTACTCGGAAAACGACGGGACAACCAGGTTCGAAGCTGATGATTGAATAAAGTATACAAAGCGTTCAAAACGTATCTGCTAGATATCAGCTTCGTATATTAAACTTGGCGGGATTGTGGTTGAGTTGCCTAGAGTGCATGTTGAAGTCTTGCGTTAAAGAACAGGCCAAAGAACAAACCAGAGGCGAACCGTAAAGGTACAATTGATGTTCTACTGACCTAATGCAACCCATCTACCATATATAACACGTAAGGGTGTACACCGTCATCTGAACCTCGACAACGCAATGGACGGGTATCGTCCATGTAGCAAGTAGCCTTACCGTATGTGTAAGTATATCAGACCTTGATTTTGAATGCAACATGTCACCCAATGAGCGTATAGCTGGATGCATGTGAACTACATATAATACTACTACCGCCAATACACAGGAACCACGAACGAACGAGACAACAAAGGAACCCGAAAATCATTGTGCTGTCGGTTAGTAGATCCACCTTCAACGGTTCCCGTTGTCTCAAAGACGCATGGCCGGAACCATCTGACAGGAAGAACAAACCGCAAGCCTCATTATAGAAGTCAATGGTCAGGTAGGCCGTTGACAGACTCGCACCCGGCAGCATTGAACGCTTTGCAAGTACTTTTTCATGGTGTACAACTAAATCCACATCAGTTACAGTTACGGTACACTACCTTAATCATCTTGCCGGAGATCCAGTTTGTCTGAAATACAAATTGAAGCCTAGTTAACATCCAGCAAAAGAACCAGTTCACGTTGGGACCCCCTCCGGGAGACCTATTTGTTCTGTCAACATAGCAATCCCTACCTTTAACTTTACTTTTCCATATTCTCCCTCCATCCACACAACCATCTGCTGAGCAGGTGATAGAAGTACGTAAATATACATGTAGCAACAAATCAGCCCAACAGAGTATCTCGATTGAACAGGTCCATACAAGAAGCTCAATGGGACTTTCCATTCAAATCCCCCTGTTCTCCCTGCCTCTCCTTTTGCAAGTCCAGTGATGATCCCCCGCAACAGAACCATAGTCGTTAGCGGCTACTGGCACCTCTGGGAGGGAAACAGCCGCAGAAAGCAACCACACAACAAACCTTGCGAAGGAAGCATACCATCATCACCGCCGACTTTCTGTTGTTGGCACAAATGCTCAACCTCCCTCTAGACCACCGTCTAGTGAAGCAAATTCGGATGCTTGGGTGTTCACAATGACTGCTCTCCCTTTTCATCCCAGTTTTCCATGTCCACGTTTGAGACTCACATGCATATGCAGATGTTTACACATGCTATCACAAGCATACCCAAGTAGTAGTTTCGGCCGAGTAAACCATCTGGGAGATAACACCCATACCCCGTACATGGCACTAGTAAGAATCCCGGGCGTGTTTTCCATCTTAGCAACCCCCACCTCCCCAGTATTCCTTTCCGAGTCAGGATCACGATTTGTATCACATCTCATCATACACCCGCCCGGACGACGGCAGCTGCCGCTTTGCTTCTTCCTTTACCCGGATGTCAGGGGTACGTTACAGCAACAAGAATCCTCTTGGCTTGGGCTCTTCTTCTCAACCTTCATGTTTCCCGTGCCAGCTTCCTTGGCTTATACCCATCTGTGTTTATATCAATATGGCCCTTGGCCTATCAACGTAAACCACGGAGAAATCAGATCCTTGTTGATTACCCAATACCGCCCATTGTTCTCCTTGTCCAGCGTGGGGGTCTGCTCACATGTGAGCGTGTGGGTAGGCCGGTATACCTGCGCTTTGTCGGTTACCTACCTATCTCCTCTGCCTTGTGATGACCTTGGGAAACATACCTGGCCCCTGTGCTTTTGAGATGATCCAGAACCATCCATATCTCTGAAGCGAATTACGTATATGGATAATAGAGAGAATCAACTCGAATATACCTAGCAATGTATTGATTTAAGTCAATAGCTCGTTAGCTGTTCCTTTCCTCAGACTTCAACACGACTCACTCACCGAGTACCTTGAACTTTTCTGTTCCCGTGATGTAGCCTGCTTCCCTCGCTACCAACCTCCCGGGATGACCTCTCCCTGCCACTCGGGGATGTTGTAATTTTCCGACTTTCTTACTATGCCACCTGCAAGAGCCTCGTTCCTGATTGAGTGACCTGTAGCCGGGTCATATCTTGATCACTTGCTGCCACTTTTTGATGCCTTTTGAGTGAAAAAAACAACAGATCTATCACGATATATTCCCCATAAACATGCATATGATACCAGTTTCTTCGTATATCGCTTCCGCATCTCGCACAGAAATTATTTGTTGTTGCCGATATCGTTGCTGTTGCCGCTCTGCTGCCGCTATTGCTGCCGTTGTCAGTGGTTAGTTGCTTACTAGCGTGGCCAATCTGATGATGAGACTTATATATGAGAATTGAATGTAAATGTGATAAATGACTAGTAGGAGCCATACCTGTGCCAAAGTGGTGAATTTCATTGGACACCCTAAACTTGTGGGTGGTCGTTGTACAACGGGAAGGTACAATCGTGCGGATAGGTGGATGAAGGAGTGAAACAAAGATCAACAACGTCATTTCCTTTGTTGGACATATTCTCTGTCTCTTTTCCTGCTGGAGCCCTGGCAGGCAGGCACGTCTACTGCATAGTGAAACGCAGGTTTGGCACGTTGGCAACGGAAAGGCTGGTCTGGCCAACCGATCCTTCAACTTGAGAATATCATTTTGGCAATGAATTATTTCGGATGGACAGTTCACGCATCCGGCCCCGAATCTATTTATGCCGGATGGTGATGGCCAATAAGTTTGATGGGAAATCCAGACCCAATAAAAACAACTGATCCGGACCAGAGAGCCCGAAAACGAAGAGCGGTCATCAAATCACCATTGTTGATTGTCAATTCATTGTGCCCTTCGATCGATCTCGTATTCCTTCAAGTCTTATCTCACTTGTGACCGTTGCTTGTCTCGCTCATCAACCACTAGTGTAGTCTAGTCAATTGCCTGTTCGAGTATCAATCTGTCAATCTCACCTAACCCTACACCTATACCCGTCCTGTGATGTTCGGTGATCCTGATACTAGTATGCAGATCACCCGCGCGTTCCTGCGGTAGTACCGACCAAACTTGTAGTGTATCTGACTATGACGACACAACACCGTGATCGATCAACGACTTTGTCATCGCCATAAAGAAAGGAGGGTAGGCCTTCTGCATGTCCGTTGATGAACAACGAAGCTGGAAGATTTGGGTGGCTTTCGGCTTCTCACGGGTTTTGGCCCTCGTATAGCTTCGAATCAGAGGGTGGGAAGAAGACAGGTAATACAGCAACATCAATATAGTCGGCCAATATGTGGTGAAAGCGATACGGTGTCCAGGCCGCAGGGACTGCTCCAGTGTTCATTGTGTGTTGGGGGTAAATCAATCCTGCTTCACTGTCAAATCGTGAGAGAAACCTCAAGCGCAGCGCGAGCCCCCCGAATCCCGAAGAGACGGTCTGCGAATTCAACCTTCTCCGAATTTGCCCTTGTTGGCTTTTCTGGTGTGCCCAGTGTAGGTCAACCCTCTTTACGAAGCCCCTTGAAAATAAAAAAAAAGGGCCCCCTCCATAAAACGTCGTCTAGAAATCATCATATAGTCGCCACATATGCGAAGGTAAACTTGACTCAGAAGTGTTGTCCATCGACTCTGAAATGTAGACTAACTGTAGAAACTTACATGAAATCCCTGATCTTCCTGATATCCGAAAGACTCTCAGGTGCTCGTATTAGTTCCAAAATCTTACCAGACGATCGTATAACATATAAGTATATATATTTAATCAAAGCGATGAGCCTAAGAAGGTGCTTTCCCAGGTGAAGAAGAGTTGAATTGCATTTGAACCCATAACATCGCGAGTTCTTCGTGCACAGCGGGAATGATTCAAGCCGTATAACACTTCCTTCCATTCTACACCCTTCCATGTCCATGGCCATAGAACGCCAGTTCCATCACCTCCAATAAAGCACATGCTACCTAAACACTTGTTTCTGAGCACCGCCCCTCGCACTTTACACCGAGGGACAACATACCTCAAATTACCTTCCATTTTTCCACCCCACGCTCAGATCATGCCCCTTAGCTGCCCAGGAAAAGCAAGGAACGGTAAGTATTCAAGGTGAACCCTTCGCAACAAACCTTTGCCGTAAACCAGCATATCTAGTAGAACAATCCGACTTTTATTTCCTCGAGTAGCTTAGCCATGATGACGGTTGGCACAAGGGTTCTGAAAGCCCTGAAACCGGCGACGTCCACTAGGTCCGCCTGGTCTGGGTCCATTCTGGTTGCCAAATTGCCCCTGCTGCTGAGTGCCATTGTTGAAGCCTTGAGCACCTTGAGCACCTTGAACACAATGCCTGGTTCCTCATGTTGTTGTGGTGGTTGCTCTTGTTGTTATTGACACCCGGCAGCCCAAAGTTTTAGTTCTAGTTTTGGTTCTGCCACCAAAGAGGCCACCATTGTTGTGACCCTAAGCGATTTCCTGGATGCCGCCGCCAGCAGGACCTTGGTGCCAGCCACCGTAGCCGCCTCTCAAGGCCGAAACCACTTGGTCCAAAGCCACCGGACCCAAAGCCTTGTTGCCCCTGATTGCCAAGTTACTGATTACCCTGGTGTTGACCACCAAAGGCACCTTGCTGACCGGCACCAGCACCACCAGCACCCTGAGTACCTCTACCACCTTGACCGTCTTGACAACTAGTGGCACCCTGACCAGCATTAGCACCCTGACCACCGGCGCCATGCTGATTGGAATGCTACTTGTCGTTCAGCCCTTGAGTCTTGACGCCTTGTTACTTGTCATTGCCATTGCCGTTGCCATTGCCGCGCATCTGGTTCTGACTGTTACCCTGGCTTTGGTTGTTCCCTCCTGACACAGAATGATGGGCATGTTGTCTTCTTTGAGCGCTTCGTGGCCATGGTGGTGGAAATGCGTGTGTCGTTATGGGGTACGCCCATGCAACGCAGAAGGAACACCGCGTACTATCAAGGTATGATACTCAGGAAGAGGGGGATAACGAAATCCATGATGGTGAGGGCGAAGAGCACGGAGGAAGGCCGGAGGAGCCATGTATATGCCCATACTGCGGGCATACGATGGCACGTCGAACAACATCGGGCGAGCAGTGGTAGGACAGAACGATAGTATGATACTCCAACGGAGTGAGCGTGATAGCAGAGTACGCAGCTATTCATGCGAAATGTACGACACTGCCGGTCGACATTGCTTGCTAGAAAAAGTGAGCACCATATCTGGGCAAGAAGCTGGTACAGGCTTGGTTGAAATGATGATAGCATTGTCTGGCATGATATCAAAAACAATAACGCCTTTAGAAGGGTGGAGCGATGAAGTCCCAGCAACAACATCGACAGTCATCGAATTGATGTGCTACCGGTCTGCGCAGCAAGTCTAGGCGGATTCACAGAGACTCGAGCTTCCGTCACCGAACTGGGGGGGAAGCTGGGCAAGGAGAGGTCACCCAAAAAAAAAAAAAATTTAAAATTTATAAAAAAAAAAGGCCAAGCTGCAGCTCGCCTCATCTAGACTCCGGACGGCAGATGCTCGAAAGTGCTTTTAATAAAAAAGCACGCATGGTTGGCAGTGGTAATATGGTAGGTACCTCTACGCAGTACAAGTATACCAAGTACAGTCGGCGTAGGTGGTAAGTGCCGGAAGACAGATGGGACGACAAAGTTGAAGTTCCATGAAGGTCGATCGAAGCCAGAAGCCCTGTTGCAGCCAAAGGTTCCTCTGCAGGTGGGAGCATGCACAGACCAGGCATATGTGAATAGTGGCAACCTTGGTCGGGCAGCCTAAAAACTGGCTTGTTGATTACCTACTGGTCGGGTACAGACTTACCTACCTTCCATAGGGAGTGGTACCCTATCCGTTTGCGAATGCTGCTGCTGCACATGGCTTGAACGGACAGGCTGTAGAGGTACCCAGGTACATGTCCAGTAATTAAGCCTCAGAACCCTGGCTGCACCCAGCCATTCCTCACAGCCTATAGGTAGGTAAGGTTCCTGTAGGTCATCTTGATAATCCGCCGCGTTTTCCAAGATCGCTTTCTATCTCCAATTCCTCTTGCAGCCCTTCTTCAATCTGCACCATCTTTTACCATTCTGCCATACTTTGGCTGCTAACCGTTCCGTTGCTTGACTTGAGATTTGCAACCACCGCCGTTACCCGATATAACCGACTCCCGGCCGTGCCCTTCTGTCAACCCTCTCTGGCGCAATCCATCCTTCGACGCACTGCCTTCTAGCCTCGCGCCTCGCTCTTGAACCTACAAAACCTTAGCTATCTACCCACGCCTCACTTCGCCTCTTTGCTGTCATGGCAAGCAAGAATTCGGCGGCGACCGTCAAGGTTTCTGGCTCGGCTGCCAATTACACGCCTGCCACCTTGGATCCCGAGTTGCGATCGGCCATTAATTCGGTCTTGATCGAAGAGGGCCATGTCGGCAAGTACGTACTCTGTCCCCATGTTCCTTGAGAGATGAGCCCTGTTGACCCGGTCACCGTGTTATTTCTTCCTCGAAAACAGGATCCAAGACCATCTTCTACACTCGCTACATGCCCACTCGTCCAACTGGCCCACGACAGTCCAGAATCACGCCCTGGCTCTCCTCCGCTCCGGCGAAATCAGTACCTTCCCCGCCCTTCTACGACGAGTTTTGGAAGATGTGCGCCACGATACAGCCAATGCTCCCTCCGGCGACGCCAACGGAGGCGATGTGAACGGAAAGAAGCTATCCAACGGCGCCGACACTACCAACGCCTCCAACGGCAACGTGCCCGCGGCGACAACGACAGCACCGAGCCTAGCGGTTCCGCAGGCCGTTATCAATGACGCGCTCAAAGTCACGCGCGAAAGCCTGGAGATGGTGTGTGAGATTGAGGCGAACGGGGCAACGTGACATGTTTGATTCCCCCCAACAAGAAATCTTGAACCAGGCCACACACACAAAGCACCCATCCAGTTTTGATTACTTTTTATCACACACAAATCCTCAGATTTCATGTCACCTGCGGCGATGTACAAGAGAAAAGGGCCAGTACCGTTGCTGACCTCGGCTTTGGTATTTCGTTATAGGGGTCTGGCGCCGGCGCCAAAAGTAAGCAGCCAGTAGGGCTGAGAAATGATGGAAGCAATAAGCGGAGAAAGCTGTCGTCAAGAGACGATCGAGTCTACTGTCAAGTTGACAGTTTTCCCAGTCATGGGGAGGATGGACACAGTCAAGGTCTTAACGGCGGGGAGGAGAAGGAGGAGCAAAGAGATGGTCGTAACCAAGGCGTTGCCTCAGGTTCGACAATAGCAACTGCGGCCGCAGAAGATGATCCGTCGATATCCGATGACGACCAACGAGAAATTGTCAGAAGGCATCACCCAAGGGTAACCAACGCCCTGCCGGATGCTCTTCGGAGAGCCGGCTTGTTGACCCAGAGGTTTCATGATAGTCGGCCTCAGGACCAGGTGCAACACGAAAGCCAACTCCAACATCCACAACAAATTCAACAACATCAAACCACACATCATCCTCTGCCTGGATCTCCCACCCGAACATATCTTCAACCACAGCCACACTTTGAGCCCCAGCCTGGCGCATCACATGCCGGAGTGGGCAATGCGCAGGAAGCACTTCAAAGTCAAGACACCGTAGGGACAGCTGCCCAAGCAGACTCCTCAGAGCAACCGAGCTAGATGGGCATGGATGACTACTTGGGCCACAGAGGAATCATTTAGTATGGTCATTATGGCATGTACATAGCTGGAAATTGTTTTGACCGGTTGCATCGAGGAAGAAGCCGGTGAATCTGTATCCTTGCTACGCATATACGCCAAAAATATGTATGAATCTGAACAAATAGTTGGGATAAAGATACATCTTGAAGGGTAAGGGGAAACTACTGGTGTAACGCCGCGTCAAACCCCTGTTGTTTTCATTCACCGGACTCTCATTCTGTCTTTTTATATGACCAAACTCCCCGGCTTAATAACTGAGAACGCCTCCGTAAAACTTAATCCATTGAGGGACACAGTAGCCAGTCCAACCCACAGGAAAACCCGGCCAAGACACTGAACACAAACATCCTCATACAAGGACTTTTAAAACCCATCAACCGGCGAAGATGTGATAATCTGATACTAAGCCTTACCGTTCTTCTTCACTTTAACACTACCAGTCCCTTGCCCTGGTCCACCATACTGCTCCTCCAACACCTCCACCGCCCTCTTCAAATCCGGCACCTCACTCGCATCCGCCGGCACGCCCACCCACCTCACAAACCCCATCCTATCGACTGCAAAGGCTCCTCCCATCTGCCAGACCGATCCAGAACTATACGTGCCTCCCGTCCTCTCATGCACAGTCATCTCTTTCCCCTCACCATGTCCATCCCCAGCACTCGAATTGGACCCAACACTGGCCGCCCTCGGTTTCTCTTTCCGTCCCCAAATCCCTTCAGCAACCCCAAGCTTATACGTGTTCCATAGTGCCCACGGCTTGTAAGCGTACCAGGTGGAGGTGGTGCCTAGGCCCCACTTGGCGTACAGCGCGCGGGACTCGTCGACGATCACGTCGGCTTCCCACTCGCCGCCGACGTCGATCACCCAGGCGTCGGTGTCGGAAGGGGAGGAGTGCGAGACGGCGAGGAAGTGCAGGTTGGGGTGCGACACGGAGAGGGCGGTGAGTAGGCGGAAGGCTTTTTCTGCGACTGGAGTTTTGTTGATTTGGTGGTGTAAGTGATGAAATTGAAGACGAAGAAAAAGAAGAAGAAGAAGAAAAAAAACGAAAAAAAGGAGAGAGAGAGGGGGAGGGGAGATGATGAGAACTGAAGGAAGGGGAGGAGAGGAGAGATAACTTACAAGGACATCCACAATGCCTCAAAAACAGAACCACGGTCGGCTTGGCGCTGGGAAATCGGATCTGCTCCGACTGAGGCGCCCTGCCACCCACCAGGGGGACGGGGGATACCTCGTGCGGCTGCTTTTCTGGGTCGTGCTGCCGGTTGGGTTGGCTTTGAGCTTGGGGAGGGTTAACGTTGATGGGTGGGAAAGTGGTGGTGTCGTATGAAGCCGATGACGGGGTGTAAAGCTGTGGTGAGCCGTCTTCACCGGCGTAGACGGGCATTTTGATCCTTGAGGCTGCTTGGGAAGTTGAATGATGATAGGCTGAATGTTTATGCAACGCTTTGGTGTAGAGCTGAAAAAAAAGAAAAGGTTGTGTAGGTGTGATGAGTAGTCGAGAGGTTATGTCGGTCAGTAGAGATGTATGTACATATATATGGGTGGCGTGGTATCGATTGGAACCTTTTTTCGGTGAGGGTCGGTTTGTATAAGTGCCCCTGCACTGGTGGGTGAGGAAGCTATGATAGGCGCTGGGTGCTGTAGCTAGGAAATAACGGAACAGGTTACGGTAACATGATGGACTGAGGGTTGAAGCTCTTAAATAAAGTTCAATTGAGGTCATTGCTGTGCAATGATAATGCGTAGAAAACCGTTGGCCCGCGCTTCCCGAGCTCACAGCTATGCTCAACCGCCCATTGAGGTGGTGTATACCGTCTTACCCCTCAAGATTCTTTGGAGCTTCTAGGCGAGTCTGCGGGTCGACCAACACGGCGTAGCCAGGGTACGTGTTCCGGGGTTTTAGTGCCTACTAGAACTACAGAATAAAGTACCGGCCTTGGGGAATTGTCATGCAAGTTCAATCGACTTCTTATGTAGCTTTAATAAAATAGCTATGTGAGTCTTGGGTTCATCTCTAGCTTGGGCCCTTTGGACATGTGCGAATGTTGATTACAGTACAAACCAAAGGCCGTAGAACAGCGAGATCATATTGCAAGTCCCAATATTCTGTACACCGTAAGCCCCTTGGCCACCACTTGTTGCCAGGACGGTGAGCAAAAATCTCAATCGTCCTATTTAACATTGTCTTGAGGAGTCTACAGATTGATAATTGATTGGAGTTATTCCGCATCAAAACCTCTACAATACCCCATACCGTCCGTCCATGCATGTGCTTCTCTTCTGTTCTAATCCCCTTCTCTGTCCCCGCAGCACTTCCACCTTCCCAATGTTTACAAGTGAAGCTTCTTCTTCCCAAGAGCCCAAAACCAAAATGCGCTTGAAATGCATTCACCACAATAACCACCCAGCCCATTCCATTTTGTACCCCCACGGGAACCGCCCCACCTCTTCATAGCTGTCCTATCCAGCGGCCTAGTTAACATCTACCTCTAATCAACATTTAACTAACAGCCAGATACTCTGTCTGAACATCCCACTCACCCTCCAACCCCCTCAGCTTTCTAAGTAAAACCACCTTATTGCTACTCCTCCTCCTCGAGCCCGTCCCTTCTTCTTTTCCGTCGTCACAGGCCGACATCAGTGCTGCTGTGTGCACCCGGAAGTGTTCCGGGACATCGTAAGGGGCGTCGGGACTGCGCATCCGTTGGGCTTGCGCTGGCACTGCTGGTGGTGGATGGCTGGGACCGAAGGATATACCGGATGATTGTTTCCGTGAACATGATTGTGAGTGTGGGTGTGGTGGAGAATTTGAGTGATGGGCGGTTGCTGTGGGGATACTGTTCCAGTTCAGTTGATGTTGGTGTTGGTGTTGGTTTTGAACCACCGGGGCGGTCCACGCGGGGGATGTTGTTAATGTTGCTGTGGTTGTTCTTACAGCAGTCACTGCTGCCACTTCGGCTGATAATGTCATCGGGACCGTTACAGGCGTGTTGTTCATGTCCACGCCCATGTATATCGTGTTGCTTAACTCAGCAGTGGCATCCATATCGTACGATGACGCAGCCGAGTAGGAACAATCGCTGTGTGAGTGCACCGAGTGCTGATCTTCGGCGAGCAGAAGAGATGGGTCGACGGGTAGATCATGCTGGCTCATGCTGAGCTTCGACTGGGCGAAATCGATTGTTCCTTCGCCTACCAGTCCAGATCCTGATCCCAAAGAAGAAACTATGGTTGCGGTACCATCGGCGTCGCTATAACCAAATGGTGTGTCTTGGAGCTCGCTGGACCACATCTCACCTGGGGCAAGAGGGTACGAGAACGGCGTGCTCGTTGCGTCAGGTGGAGATGCTGAGTGCGATGGGGTATATTCAGAGTACAGATGCCTCTCCTCGAGCCTGATGGTGTATTCAGCTATCGAAGCCATGATGTCGGCGCGCCAGACATTCTCGCGGCGGGCGGGGTTGCGACGAAGAAGGTCGAGGGCAGCGCGGCGGACTTCGGGATGGCGGCATTTGATGGCGACGAAGAACAAGGGGGCTATGACGTGAGTTTCGAAACTGAACATGGCCGAGAAGCGTCGTGCGTCTCTTAGTGATGCTGCTGTGCCTGTTACTGTCCCGGCTTTGCTTGTCTGACTTCCGCGCGTTGTGGGGTTGGAGAGTGTTTCCATGAAAGCGGCTGCGCGGGGAATGATGGCGGAAAAGAAGGAGATGTGGTCATCAAAGGCGGTTTCCTTGGTGCTTAACGCTGTTGATATCCAAATGTGAATGGTCTTCGTATGTATTTCGATCAAGTCAACACACCCGGATGGGAGAAGCTTTTGGTTTCTTGACAGGAAGAGCGCGAATGCGACGTTAAACCTAGACAGCTTCTTCATCATAAGATCCTGCTCCCCTTCCAGTGCCCGCAGTTCTTCCGGTGATACTTGTTGATACTTTGCAGGCTTTGACCTTTTTGTGAACCTGAGACACTCTTCCATAAAGTCGTGTAGCGCGTACCGAACTTGGTCAATTGTTTCAAAGGTCATTGGAACGTCGGTCAACGTCTTCAACGGTACTGGTATAGCAGTAGGATCTCCACCAATCATCAACAACGTTAGACTGATTCGAGTGTACATGGGAACAATGTGATTCCGTATGATCTCAAATTCGGGGTTCGCGCGCAGCGACGGCTTTCGTTCGAGCTGACTTAACAGCTGGTGCCCTTGTTGTAGGTGGATAAGTGATTCGACATCCTTGACTTGCATAAACTCGAGAAAGACGAAGAGGATACAGGTGAGAAGTGGTACAAGGGGCCTTGAGTCGACGTCTGGCATCCGGTCCAAAAGACAGGAAATGGCTTTGTTGTATTGGAATAGCGCAAAAGACTGCTTGTCGGCAATGTCGACGTAGGGCGCCACGACACCGCGTACCATTGCTTCGTGCAGGCTGCTAACAGCCAACACGGCGTGCTTCACTGCTGGTTCGGATTCACAGATCTGAAGCACAAGCACACGCCAAAAGGCACCGTCAAAGTCACCGGAAAGGCAAGGTGCCGTGACATCCTGGAAGAAGTGAAAGGAACGTTTCTCGTCCTCGGATGCCCACTGGTAAAAGACAGATAGCGAGCCGCGAGGGTTGTTGGCATCAGTCTGGGACACGCCGCCGGATCTTCGGGGTCTCCTGCTAATCAAGGTTTTTGCGTCAAGGTATCCATCGCATCTTCGCCCAGTCTTTGTGCAACGGACACAAAACGGTTTTGCCTCATCGCACTTGACTTTGCGGATTCTGTATGCGAGTGTCAGGTACAATTTCAAGTTGATCGAGGGCGTCAAGGAGAAATCCGGGTGTTGATGTACTCATAAACCCTTGTCTTTTGTGAGACCAGGCGGCTGGGATGGCGAACTCGGACTTACTTGCAGGTTAGACAGCCGGTTCTTACTTTCTTCGACCCTTTCCTTCCTGACTGAGCAGGCCGAGGTGCAAGAGAAGATGTTCCCGAGGGGTCTGGACGGGCACCCATGATCGCCATGGCCTCCCTGGTACCCTTAGCTCGGTGATGACTCGTCCCTATTTGCTGTTGCATCTTGTTTGTGGAAAGTTGGTAGTGAGTCTAGTTCGGACTCAGAGATCGTTCATGAAATCCGAGCAGTACTGGCTCGGATTCGCGAACTGGACTAAGAGGAGAGAAGCAGGCAGAATAAAGTCTGCCTTCACTGTGGACTTTGGAAAGAGAGCGAGCCGAAATGTAAGGTGTGGGACATGGATGGGTGAGATTTTAAGTTGACCGAGAGTAAGCTCCGTGGATCAAGGGTAGAGGGCCGAATTGGTTGTACCATCACATATAAAGGAAAAAAAGTATCTGAGGCGGTTGTAGCTGGCTAGGCGAGAAAGGATACAATAAGGCCTGGGCTTGGGGCAGTACCCATCAGAACTTTAAACTATACACCCCGCCTAAGATGCGACCCCAACCATAGCCATGAGGGAGGTTTAAAATGGGAATGGGATGGGAAAGGGTATAGTGCTGCCGGTAGCGTAGGTGCACGCCGCCTCACTGTCGACCGAACCGGGCATGTACCTTTTTGGCCCGTCCCTTGGTGGGATGGTATGATTATGTGCTGGTCCCCTTGTCAATACAAGGCGCCAATCGCATCAGCGAAGGGTAGCAGCAGTATTGAGACAGGACCAAGTACATGGCTTGCTAAGCACATATGTTCTTCAAAGGTGTGGAGGAAGAGAAACCGCAGTGAAAGTGGAAGGACCTCCTTGTTCTGCCATTGTTTTAGGCATGCTCAACTCAAATCAATGCCTTTCTCGTCTGTGCCCGTCTTGTCATACCACGAAACAGGGACCATACAACCCACACGGCTGTGTATACTAGCTCTCAGACTTGTGACGACAGGTTCGGGCAGACGAAAAGGGAGTAGACGCGGTACAATAACCAATGGCCGTCTGGATGGATGCAGGACGGTCTGATCCCATCAGGACTGGAAAGCCACCTGGATATGGATTCTTACGCCTCCTTGACCTACGTAACAATAAAACATGGACAAGTTGTGCTTGAAAAAGAAGATAGGCAGAAGGATTTGCTGACAATCCAGAAGCCGCCAAGCCGGGGCAAGGAAACCTTCAGGAAAGCTGCCCGATGTCATGTTACACCGGCGAACAGCATCGAGGACCGACCCGCGATCATTTGAATCCCGTTGACGTGGAGCATTGTCCTGGTCCTCCATGCTCCCCAGCTTTCGCAGCTTCCTCGGCTTGCCGCATACCCAACCGCCACTAAGCTCACCTCAACGTTGCTCTAAACCCATCACTACCACTGCGTCGTATGTAATTGAGCAAAAGGGGGACGGCAGTGAAGATTATTGATGCTGGGAAATTGTTGGCCATCGAAATCAGGCACCCGTTTAACGTCCCGCAGACTGGAAACAGTCGCCGTTGATGTGAGGCATGACAAGGACACAATGGGGCAGTGAGCGGGAAACGGTGCCAGTTTCCACACTCGGCGTTGGGGAGAGAGGCTCGATCCCTGAAGTCATTAATAATACAGAATCAGGGTGAATCTGCACCATTCGTTCGTTCGTCGCTTTTATCGGGTCTGATGCTTGCTGTTCACTTGTTGTTGTTGAGGTTACATCTGCTTGTCACTCTCACAGCCCTGTTGAGGGGTTGACCCTCAACCCATGAGATCAAAGCAAGGGTTGCTGTTCCCACACTCAAACACCTGTGCAGTCTTGGCAAGCGGTGCGTGCGCACACACACACACACACACACCGCACTTCTGTATTGTACAACTTTGTCAAAATCCATTATTTGATAATAATTTCTATATTAAATTAAAGCTATTTCAGTGTGTGAAGTAATTAAGACACTAGTAATTAATTAAATCCATTGCGATAATGCCTCCTAAAACGATCCTTAATTTAAAACCTATTAGCGTAAAGCGGTCTTGTATTCGAAGCGGTGTACTAATAGTCTATTTTAATAATAATTAAAATAAGGAAGATCCTAGCTTAATAATTTTATAACGCGCCTCCTCCTGGCTTAAAAAGAAGAGTTGTAAAGCTGAGTAATTTATTAAAGTTATCCCTAAAATTAATCCTCCTAAGAAGAAGGCTATTCTTAAGAAGGTTATTATTAAGAAGAAGGGGAAGGCCCCGGCCGCGGCCGTAGTTGCTAAAGATCCGACGCTAAAACTGCCCTCGTCCCTTCCCTAATTTCGACCTACTACCCTTATTGATATTTTTAGTAGTAATGAAGATTCTAACGACGATAACGAGGTCGAGTAATAGCTCCCTATCCGCCTTACCCCTAAGAAGTGGGCTCTCGATACTTTATTTTATTTATTGGATAACAATAATGGTAAAGTAGCTTCTCTAATTAAATTAATTGCCTTAGTACTATTAGTTTAGCCCCGCATTTATAAGCCGATTATCTTGATACTACTACCGCTTCCTAAATACTTCTAGTCGATATAAGTTTAGTTTAGTATAGTTAGTTTGTATATTACCGTTAGTTGTAATAAATTACCCTCTATCGAAGAACGTAGTATATTTAAATAAGTGGAGGTTGAATAAGATAATAGCGAACTCTATAATTAGCGGTTTGGGACGACCCTGCTTAGTAAGATTAAATAGTTGTAATAAGGTTATATATAAGAGATTATCGATAGTAATACGGCTGTAAGGATAAAATAATTAATTGTTTTATATAATGTTAGTTATATTGCTACTATTTATAATAACTGTCGCGCCCGGGTTACTATTTATAATAAGACTATCTCTAGGAAGGATTTTTTTAATAAGTATAATAATATTGAGTATAAGACTATTATAAAGTTGTACTTCTACTATATTAGCTAATACTACTATTTTACTATATTATTTAAATTTTCTAAGCCGCCCACTAGTAAAATCCCCGTTACCTTATCCTCCTATAGTAGTATACCCTCTACCTCTACCCCTTCTTGTAGTTTAATTAATTCTTTTATTACCCTAATCCTATAAGCGGCCGATACACTATTAATTCGAGGGTTATAGACTCTAGTTGGCACTGAGAAATTTAAGCGTATTATAATAAATACTATATTGGTAGAAGTTGAGAAGAATCTAAAGGAGGATTAGTAATAAGAGGAGCGTACGGGGTTGAAGTTATATAGTATTATATATTAGGAGTTAGTATAGGTATAGGCGTACGGTCTTAGCTATAAGTATAAGAATTATAATAAAGCTATTGGGTATTAAATGTACTATATTATTAATAGGAGTATAACCTATTATAATTTTAATACTAAAGATATTAGTAAGTAGGTACGCGTAATCTTATTGGGGAAGGTTATAGTAGTTAACCCGCCTAGTAATTTAATGCGAGAAATGCTAGAGAATAAAATAGTAGCCGCCTCTATTAGTATTAGTAATAGTAGTAGATGTAAGGGAGGAGGCGATAATCTACTAGTTAATATTAATATTATTAATAATATTAATAGTAGTAATAATAGTACTAATATAAAAATTATAAATAATCTATTATAAGCTACGCTAAGGAGGGATAATTTTAGAGGTCTATATTAATTATACCCTTATTCTCTATACTTATTATACCCGCTACCCTACTAGTACTTCTCTCCTTACTTTCAATTTCCCTAAATTTAACTACCTCCTCCTTATACCGCCGGCGGCTCTATAGCTAACTTAGTAATTACGGGCAGCTCTAATTATAATAATATAGTAGGCGCTCTCCCCCTACTAGGTAAAGTGGTAATTATCGATTTGTATACGCCCTTAGAGTATTTTACTATTGTATTTTATAAGTATTTGACCGATTGTAAGATTTTTACTACTAGGCGCGCTAACTTTCCTCTTATTTCTATAGCGATTATAGTTTTTGCTTAGCTACCAGTACCGTTATTAATCGTACTACTATCAGTAGCAGGTAAGGAGGACGAGGGTAAGGAGATTAGAGAATCCCTAATAGAGGCTAGAGAATTATTTATACTACGTCCGTTTATACTTTTAACTTTCGGTTTCCGTTTATTATTATTACCCTCCGCCCCGCCTAATCGATTGGCTAAAGAGTTTATATAAGGGATCTACAAGGTATACACGCAGGTAGGCCTTGAAAAGAGCTTGAAATAACTGATAAAGAGGAAGAGGGAAGTCTGTACCCTACTGGTATAGAGCTTCCAACTAAATACACGAAATGCGGTAGGCATCGAAGGTGCCAGAAATGCTAAGGCCAGAAATATAGCCCGTACGGCTCCCGAGGGATGTACCTAATAGTAAGCAGTGCATTTAGCACTAAGACGGCTAACGGTAGCTAACTAGCCCGTACACCCAACTAGAGGGCACGCTTGGCTTACACGCCAGGCAAACACATACCCCTAGGCGCCAGCCCCATAATATTACTTCCTACTTCTCCCTTCGAAAAATGGCCAAAAATACTATATATAAGAAAGAATCGCTCTAGCAACCCTAGTATTCTCGAATACTCCCAACGCCTTACTGCCTAGGTTTTTATAATAGAAAACAATTAAATAAATAATTAATAGCCGAATTACTTAAGTATATTTCCCTAGGAAAATTCTATTTATTACTTTAATACTTATTATTTATACGTACGCTAGTACTAGCTCCGTTTACCCCCGGGTTGTACGGTGGCTACTATGCTAGGTACCCTGAGCTCCGGGAGTTTCGAAATACCCTATAACGCCCAATTCCATCTATCTGTAAAGATTATTATCCTATTATTCCCTATTCCTAATAATAATAGTATTTAGTATATATATTTTTAATAAGATTCGCTACTACCTTATGCGCTAGTAGGGTACGCGCAGCTTTCCCGGGTATTTTTAGAGCTTCGCTAGTATTAATAGAGCCCTAGAATCTACCCTTCGGGTTTTACTAGGCTAATATTTATACTTTAATACTTATTATTATTATTAATTTCATTATTTTCTTCCAGGCCCCCTTCCGACTTTGGAGTAACCTAAATATATTGGACCTTAACTTTTTTATAATCCTTGGCCTAATAGGAGGGTGAATTGTAAATTATATAAGTACCCTTCTTCTTTTACCTCTTTTATTG